CCCCCCCCCCCCCCCCCGCCAAGAAACCGCAAGAATCCCCAAACTCTAAACCCTAAACCCTCAAAAATCAGCTTCATGAGTCTGCCTTGGACAGAACGGGCTGGCTCCTCTCCGCACCCAGCGGACCCAGCCTCCGTGAAGCGGGGCACTGAACCCACATAAGACAAGATTCGGCCGCACACGAAACGTCGTAGTAGCAGTAGTAGTAGTCGTCGTCGTCGTTGTCGTCGTCTCCAGGAGCTATAGTGCAAATCTGTGAATCGCACTCGTGGACCAGCTCTGTGGCCAACGTCCGGACGTACCACGAGTCATCGCTCCTCAGCTCCAGCCGTGAGCTCAAGGATTTGCCAGAAAAATCAGTGAAGGTGCAGGTGGTGCTGCAAGTTTTCGACGGATCAGCCGAGGCGAGATGGCGCTTCTCTCCAAGCAGGTCCCTTCTGGCAAGACCCCTGCGGCCGGCCGGGCACCTCGTGGTCTCCAAGTTCGAGGCCGGGGCTTCTCCATCCGTCGTGCTGCGCAGCGCATATTAGATGCGCTGTCCTCTGGGGCTCCTCTCTGCTAGGCCAGGGGCCAGACTCTCTTGCAGTATCGGAGCTCAGACGTACCAGGCTTCGTGGTAGGAGCCCAGCAAGCCTCGGTGTTTTTATGGGCTCTCCGGGCCTTCCTCGGCTCCCAGAGGCTGTTTTGCGGCTTGGCGGCCCTTGGCTGAAGTGTGGTTCAGCTCGACCTGGGATCATATGAAGCAGGGCGAAAGGAGAGAGGGACTCTGGATGATGAGTCGGCTCCCAATTTCGCACCAGGCCGGCAAGGCGGAGCATTCAGGATTGCCACTTCAGGACTTGGGGCGGACACCTCGAGTCTGAAGTCTCGAGTCTGCGCCACTCGTCCCAGGCGCCACCTGTGCTCCCACTCTGACTCTACAAGCCTAAATCGCCACGGACCTCCCACAGACCTCCCAGACAGCTCGTCGCCCTTCAGCACGGCGAGGCCCAGCTGTGCTGGTGGACCAAAGAGATCAACGGACTCGGCCAAGGCTCAACTCTCTCAATACCGAAGGATTCTGAAGGCTCTGCCAAGAGTCCTCGGGGAAGAATCCGAAGAGCTGCTGCCCCCAATGGGTTGCCTTGAGCTTCCAACAGCTCGTCAGCTCGACAAAGTACCCGCTCTTCATCTCTTTGGGAACCCTGCCTTGCTGAAGGGGCCTGTGCTCAGATTGACGGAGGACTCCCCCGAACTCGAAGTGTGAAAGGAAATGTCGAAGAAGCCACAGAGGCCGCCGACCTCGGTGATATCCGGGGAATGGGGGGGGAGTCGGTCTATGAGCCCCGAATTGAGAGAGGCCTGCTTCTAAGGGGCAGTACCGTCCTTTGTGATGGGCAGGACAATGTCCTGAGCTGCATGGGGGGGGGCAGGAGGCGGCAAAAGCGGCATCTCGCAGGCAAGCCGCGAACGCCTGCTCATGCAGGCTCTGTAGCCTGAGGCCAGAAACTGGTTGGCCCTTTAAAGCCTCTGAAAAATTATTAGTAAATAGGGTCCTCTTAAGNNTATCCCAAAGGCCTACCTAGCAAAGCATTTACAGGTGTGTCAGAAGAACGTTCGAGCTTGATTCTGCCCTCGCACCTCGAGAGCGGCAACGTCGACAGGTCCAGCGCCAGGAGCTGCACGGGAGGGCCACGCAAGTGGGAGCTGTTCAGATGCACCCAGTCCCAGCTTTGAAGGTGGTGCTCGCTCGCCTGGCCGCTGGAATTCTGGGTGCCGGCATAAATTTCCTACATGCTTGTAGCACCTCTTTCTCCTGCTGCATGGTCAAGGGTCCATAGCTCAATCCTCAGACAGATCGCAGCTTCAACGCGACCTTCAACACTTCAACAGATGCATCGAGTGTTAAAACCCGGCAAACCAGTTCCATCACAACCGAACCAAAGAAGCCTGCGCTCTTGGCCAACCGTCAGTGACAAGGGACAGGTCCAATCCGGGGACCCGACCAAAGCTGACGTGCATGTGCTGCACGAAGCTGCGCCAAGCCTGGGACTTTAAGAGGTCCGAGGCAACCCCCTCGGGCAATGGACGAAGGCAAGGCTCACAAACGGGGTGAGGGGGGGGGGGGCTTTTTCCGAACCATGAGTACAAGGATCCTTATGATAATAAGGAGCTCCTTAACTTGAAGAAGCCCCAAAATCGACAAACCAAGAGCCGGAACACCCAAAGCTCGTCCACATAGCTCTGCCAGCGCTCAGCAAAGCAGCTGTGAGCGCAGGGGGCTAGGAATAGCCGAGCATGAGAAGGGAACAGCAAGCCTCCTGAGTGCAGTGTGGATCCCCTAGTTCCCCTTGCCCGGCCTAGCTGTCTGCGGATATGTCCACTTTCAGAGGTGAAGAAGAATACCCGACGAGGGTACGACACGTAAGTAGGTACACTTGGTGACACGAAACCCTTGTGTGCGGCCTTTGTTCCACCAATGTCCTCATCAGTACATCCATCACGATGACAGTCATCACACAAACCTCTCAGACTGAAAACGACCTGGCAATCAATGTTGGTTACAGGCCGCTGCATCAACCACATCACACCTAGACCTAGATTGTTGTGTTCTCATTTTCGACTGTCATGCTTCGTTAACATCCTCTGCTTGGATCGCCTGCTACCTTGCGCACCATGCCTGCCCTGTGCGAAGTCTGGGCCTGCCTGGCTTCAAGAAGCGATCCCTGGCGATCAAGACCGTGTCCAACATCGACTCCTTCAGAAGGAAGTTCCCCATCCACTCCGAGATGATCACGTCTACCTGCTAGCTGTCATGCAGTGAGCGCGGCCCTGGAAAACCAACAATGTTCTTCATGCAGCGAAACTTCCAAGAAAACAGTTGCTGCATCGGTCACAGAAGAAAAGCTCCGCAGCATAGCTGCAGCACATCTGTCACTGAAAAATCGTGGACGCGAGGAAACCGTCCCAAAAATAGAATGATTCAATGAACATTGAGGCAGCTCAACGAACCTGTCGCGAAAAGGCCGTGCTGCACTTGGAAAATATGGAAACATCCCGGGCGCAGGGAAACCACCTGTCACGAAAAGCTCCACTACATTTACGTTTGAAAATTGGAAACATCGGGTGGCAACGAAACTGCAACAAAAACGCTCCGCTGCAGCACCGTCGGGGAATCGAAACTGTCACGTAAAAGCTGGCTGCACATGAGTAATAACGTCTTGGGCGTAGCGACACCTCACAAAAAAGGTCCGCAGCACCTGCAAAACCTGGAAAAGTGGTGAGCGCAAAGACACAGTCATGAAGAAGCCCTGCTGCATTTCACAAATTCTGACAACACTCCCGTCAAAACCACTGTGCTCAACAGGAGGAACCTTGTGTGGCCAAGCTGTGATAAAACACGGAACACAGAAGCCATCGACAACCCGCCTGCTCTGGCAGCTCAATGGTTTCGACCATTCCCCGGATCACTTCCACCACCTCTTCCACCCCGTTCGCTGCAACAACCTGCAGGGTATGACAGGCAGCGGACAGGCGGCAAGTGCGACGTCTCTCTGCAAGCATCTAGAATAGACATAATGAGTCATCTGCAAAAAGGTGTCGACAGCCCGTATATTAAAAAAATTCGTTTGGTTGTAGGGCCTGCTTCGCTGCACTGGCCATGTCCGAAGCCTCCACCGCGTACACCTTTCGAGCCCCAGCCTGGGGGGCAAGAAGATGAAAACCAACCATGAAGTGGGTTTAGAGGTTTAGAGGTTTAGGGCTTTCGGGGTTTAGGGGTTTAGGGTTAATGTAGGGGCCTTGAAGATGAAAACCAGGGTTTTCGGGGTTTAGGGGTTTACGCTCTCACAACTCGGACTTAGGGGTTTAGGGTTTTGTGTTCATGTCGGGTCCGTAGTACTCAGAACAGGGTTTTGGGCTCCTTTGATAGCATTCTTCCAACCAGGAACCTAAGGAATCATATTGGTACTTATTTAGGCTTCCATATCAAGCATAAGTAAGCCATCAGCTCAGCAGCATCATCGTCAACATCAGCAAGATTGTCACAATATTACACCCCAACATCGACATCAGAAGTGCTTTGTTTTACTCATGGTCACGTGTCTCCGCCTGGCGAGCCTCTCTTAAGCGAACGCAGACAAAGCAAGAACCCAGCCCATCACTATCTATCTTTAATGGCCAAAACTAGGGAGCAGGAGCCGTCGTCGCGCTTGTGGGGAGGCTGCAAACCAATTTTGTGACTCCTTGCCTCGTGGTGCGCACATGGCCCGCAAGACAGTGCACAACTGACTTGCACACTAACCTGCGCCTTTAAAGTACAGCGACTCGTGCGCATGGCCCAGTGCTTCAGCCGCTTCAGCGAAACGAATGCTGCGCCAAAACTTTTCAAACATCATGGAGGCTGAAATGGGCTGTTTTCCGGAGCAAATCAACTATTCGGTTTGCGCAAAAGCTGGGCGATCCTCGTCAGGGTACGTTTCCAAACATTTTCTGAGCATGTCAACTCTGTGGGTCGTACAGCCAGAGACCTCCGCTGGAGTACGGACCGAGTGCGATAATGGCGCTGGGCCACAGTTGTTGCTGTCCGCGTGGAGCCGAGCAGAGTATTTTTTGTTCAGCTGCACAGTTCACCTTCTGCAAGTGCGAACTCAGCAGCGGCATGTCTTTCTTCGACTCGCATTGCTCGCGAATGAGCTGATCAACCATCCCAAAGTCTGCAACATCGTCCTTGCCGAGGAACGCATAGCAGGTGCACAAGACCTCTTCCTGAAGGAGGGAGTCGAGCTTGCGGAACTTCCGAGCCCCGTCATCACACGAAAGTACCCCACTTCCCTCGACGTCGTTACGCAGACGCACCCAGGCTACAACTGAGTGTTGGATAGCAACGAGGCTCCACTTGTTACTCAGCTTTAGGGCCTCATGCACGGGGTCCAGGAAGTCGGGGTAGGCAACATCACATTCAAGTTCGGATAAGGATGCCTGGAGGGCCGTGGCATCAGACGTCATCTTTGGAGTGTTGGGGGTTGTGCCGCCTGGCAACTGCGCTTGGGAGTCTGGCCGTGTCTTCGAAAGAGCATCGTTGACCATGCGGGTTTGGTCAAAGGTTCGACGCACAAGTGTATGGATGTCGCTTCGCCGACTCCAAGCTGCTTCGGCTACGGAGACATGTGCTTCGTGAGAGGAGACATGTCCACGTCTGGTATTCGGAGAAGCAGCTGCATCGGAGTTCGTTGCATGCGGGGAACTTCCATCAAGCTCTTGTAGAAATTCTGCTCGCTGAGATCCACCAGACGGCCTAGGCTCATGAGGACGAGCTGCATGTCGTCATCTTCAACATTGCCGCACACATTCCTTCAGAAATTTGGCACCAGGTCCACACGAAACGGTGCTGTCCTCCTAGCATCAAGAGGCCCCGAATCCCACCGCGCACCTTGTAGTAGGCATTCCGTAGTTGGCTCAGCCGCGTGTTGTCGCTGTTGACGATGACCGCCAGGAAGTCCATGATGACCTGCGTATGTCCATGCCAAAGGGTCCGATCCTGCCAAAAGCCGGTCTAAGAGATGCTGCGTCGGCGTGCCATCGTTGAAGTGGTGTCCAGCATCGTGCGGAAACGACCCACAGCTTGCCACACCACTCTGTCACAAATCAGCAGCTTGGAGTCCTTGAAAGCCTTGTGCAACTTGTCCCTGTCAACGAAACCGACCAACCTTCCGATGGACATCACGTCCGCACCCAATCGCTCAAGCTGCATCCACGCTTCGCGTGCATAATTGCGCGAGTCCTCATGCAAAGTTTGC